CCACCCAGTCCCAAAATCCGACTCAGCTTGGGGTGGGGGCAGGGAAGAGAAAAGGAAGGAACAGCTGGGGCAGAAGCCTCGGCCAGGTTCCTCACCTGCTCATTAGAACCTGTCCCCTGTCCCGCTGTCCCCTTTGGGACCACAACCCACTGCCTCATGGAGACCTTTCTCCTAGGGTCCCTCCAGTCTCTGTCCAGGAGGGAAAAAGGGTCGGGGTACCTGTGTCTGAAGTCTCCACTCTCACTCACGCACCCTATATGGGTCCTAGCCCACCTGCCCGCAGCCCAACAGAGCTCCTGGCCCCCGCAGACCATCCCCTTACACGGACATCGTCAGTCGGTCCTCACTAGCTCCTGCCAACACTTGCCAGCCCCTCCCGGACCTCGGACTCCCGGCCCATTCCTACCGGTCCTACCTGCTCCGGGCTGGGGGCTCAGCGCCCGGGCAGCCTCCCTGAGCACCAGCGCCAGGAGCCAGAGTTCGCCCCGCATGGTGGTGCGAGACCCTCCTCGGACCCGGACCCGCCCCCGGCCCGCTTGCTGCCCCGGCCCTGACAGGGGAGGGGTCCCGGGCGCAGGTTGCAGCGCAGTCCCGGGGGCTGGCAGATGGCGAGGGGCGGCGGGGCGGCTGCGGAGCGCAGGGCCAGCGAGCCGGCGGGAGCGCGAGCGGGCGGTGAGCTCTACCCGAGCGGCAGCGGCAGCGTCCGGGAGCGCGGGAGAAGGGAGGGGCGGGACTCTGCGCGCTGGAGCCTCCCCAGCCCGCTCCGCGCGCCCCGCGCGCCCGGCAGCCGCTCCTGAGGCGCGCGGCGAGGGAGAGGGGCGGGAAGGGGGCCACGCGGGGGGCGGGGGGCTCCGCAGGGAGGAGTCCTCGGGAGCGCCAGCCGCCGGCTCGGTGCACCTAAGCTCCCGCCCGCCTTTATCTCATTGGCTCGCTCAGGGAAACACGCTCTGTGAAGACCCCAGGGGCCAGACCTCAGGAATGAACGGGCTCCCCTCCTCCGGCCATGGGCTCCTGGAAGTTACCGTTTCAGTTACTCCAGAATTTCTAGGCTGTTTCTCAGTGGTCTGCGGGTTTCCGGTTCTTTGTTCCCACAAAACTCTGCTTTGGCAGCAGCGACCCCCAGCTTCTCTCCCAGCGGAGGCCTGCATTCCGCCTCCTGCTCCCCTCCCACTTTATACGCCCCTTCCTCGCAATTTTACGACAGCGTCTTGTTTTGTGTCCCCAGCCCAGCAGAGAAAAGAGTGGAGAGAGACTGCTTCACTCCTAGCCTGAAATAGCTTGGACCCTCCAAAAGGTAATCGAGGTCCCCCTCCTCTCTGGGGCTCCAGGGTTCACCTGGGCCTGACCCAGGCAAGACCTCTCTCTCCCCCCACCTGCCACTACCTTACAGCAGACTCTGGCGAGAGACCACTTTTTTTTTTTCCCCCCGCTCTCCTTTACGGGACAGAATAAAAATACCGGCAATTTAGGAGATTTAATAGACAGCAGGGAATCAGGTCAGGACTCGGAGGTGCCTCTACCCTTCCCTGACCTACTTCGTGTGATGGAGGAGCTGCAGGGCTGCAGGGTGGGAGAGTGAGGGGTGAAGGGCACCCTGCCTTCCATGATACTGGAGCCTAGGGATTGGAAAACCAGGGGTAGGAAGGGTGTGGACGCTGAGAGCCATTGGGGGATGTACCCTGGAGGAGTGACAAGGGCTAGAAGAGAAGGGGTCGCTGGCACTGGGGCCCAAGAGGAAACTTTGGAAGACAACAAGAACTAAAGTTTCTCTAATCTTCCTGTTCCTCCGTCCTCAGGGCCCAAGGTCCCAGAGTCGACCTCCTCCAGTCCTAAACTCTGTCTCCTTACTATGCGACAAGGCAAAGCCTGTCTGTGAATTCTTCTGAATGTCTACTTTAAATCCCAATTTGGGAGGCTTTCAAATTGGACCACCCGAGGCTGCCGCTTCCAGTTGCGACTTCTTGCTGCCCTCTAGTGGCCACATGGCGAGCAGCAGCGATGTTTTGAGGTTTCCCCTGCTTTCCCGGTCATAGCGACCCTATAGGTGGTTGTGAGTCAGGATCCACTCGAAGTCAGTTTTTTTTTTTTTTTTTTTCCCCTTTGCGGGGGAGGTCACTTTTCTGGACCTAGCCAAGCGCTGTCCTGCCCCGCTGGCTCTGGCCACGCAGGTTCGTATCTCACTGCTTTCTGGAAGTCGAATTGGGAAGTCTAAGGTGACCTACGTCGCTTTGTGCTGTCCACCGTCCCCCACGGCCTGTCTTATAAAAGTCTCTTGAACGGCTAAGACTAACACAGAAACAAATTAAACATTTCTTAATGAAGTGTAACTTAAAAAAAATAAGTCTTTAGAATTTGAGCATGCATCAGAATCTCATGGAGTACTTATTAAAACACAGATTTCTAGACCCAACCCCCAAGTTTCTAACTGAATTCTTCCCAGGTGTTGCTGATGCTGCTGGTTAGGGGACCACATTTTAAGAATAACTGTTCTAAAACTCCTATTTCTTGCACTCCGTCACTGCTCACCGCTTGCCAAAAGAAAATGGCGGAGGAATGTCAACATGAGAGTGTGAAAAAAATAAATCAATTTAGAGAGAATAACTTGTTGCTCAAGAAAACAAATTTTAGCTCAAAAAAAAAGAAAAAGAGCGCAGCAAGGGGGCACCCGGATTTGAACCGGGGACCTCTTGATCTGCAGTCAAATGCTCTACCACTGAGCTATACCCCCTCTGCTAGTTCTTCCGCGCAGATAACCTCTTAAGTCTACTGTTGCGCAAGCGCTGTGGTAAATCTATTAAAGGGCGTGGGAAGTAGAGACTGAGTTTACAAGGAACAGGGACTGTGAGTAGATTTTTCACGTGAAGGTAGAGTTTGACTCCAGAAGCTCAGAGCTAAAAATTCCTTCTGATGGTGTAAGAAAAATACCATTCAAGATTCCTCACTGCAGGGACGTTTCTCTGGGCCGGGGTTCCGCTCACCTAACCTGCAGGACACCTGCTTGCTGCTTCTCACCTATTCTCTCTCCCTCCCACACGCTCACGCGGACTTCTCAGAGCCTTCCTTCCTCAGCCCAAGGCCGGTCTCTGGAAACTCCACCTCCCTCCTTGAGGAAGAGCTGTCGAGGTCCTTGGCCATGCCGACGTGTGGGCGAACTGGCCTCCAACCTTCCCCTGTGCTGTCTATTCCGCCCACGAATGGTCAAGTCAGACCTCTTGGACAACAATTCTCCCTGCAGTTCCCCCACAGACAAAGAAACAGAATCAAACGCTGAGGGGAACTGCCCGGGACTCCATCCTCCCAGCTCCTGCAAAAGTGGTTGGCAAGACCCGGTTTTATCCTGCACGTCACAACCTAAGCAGTGGACTAGAGGACTAAGAAAACGTTTAAGTTCAAAGAACAGAGAGGGGGCACCCGGATTTGAACCGGGGACCTCTTGATCTGCAGTCAAATGCTCTACCACTGAGCTATACCCCCACGACGAAACCTGAGCTTCATTAGTATGAATTTCTGTGGAATAAGACAGTGGATGTCAGCACTTACTCCAGAGTAATTCCATTTTCCGATGGGTTTTGTGTTTTTTGTTAACTTTTCCCTATTAACGTGTCAGAATAACTTAGTACAAAGAACACAGAATCCACGTGGGGATGGCTAGAATTTCCAACGAGTTCTTCCTCCATAATCACACCTCAGGAAAACAACAGTTAAAGAATCCTGGACCTTCCATGTAGATCCCTGCCCAGACTCTTCCCCAGAAGTCCACTGCCTCGCTTGGGAAGGGGAGGCCCTTTGTGCCTCAAGGACCATCCTAGGTTTGCTGAGATGATAGTATTGCTCCTTGTATACATATGGGCAACCTGGGACTCCATCCTGTCTCCAGCTCTACCTGGATAGAACTCCCGGGCTTTTGCAGTCCTCAAGGCCTCTACTCCTCTCTTCCATGAGTCAGTATCAAACCACTCCCTTCCCTAGCCCGGGCAGAGCTCTGACTCCTAGTCTTGGCATACCAGGTACCAGCCCTCTCCAACCTGGCAGAGCATGGTGAAACCCAAGGCCAGGAAGCCATTCCTTAGCCAGATGGACTCCTGAGGCAGGTCCCTCCCATTTCCAAGGGTTTGGGTTTTTTTTTTTTTTTTCCTGCTGGAGCCCCTTGTACAGAAACCAAAAGCCGGTGTGAGGGGGCAGACAGAGATAAGAGGTGAGCAGTTTCCAATGGCATCTATCACACTTTTATAAAAATCCTAATGCATTTATTATACTTTTATAAAACTCTTAATGCATTGTAAAAAAAAGAAATATATATACATGTATGTGTGTGTGTATCACTACAAAAAGATAGACAAATAGGCAGGCCTTGTAGAAATGAGACATTTGGGAAGAGTGGGATTCACATTAGAAGGACACAGAAGGTGAAGGGGATACCATGTGAGTGGTCGCCTAAACCCGAGGAGCTGTGTCCAGAGCCAGCCCTCTCAGAAGGAATGAGAAGGGGAGGGAGGAGTGGAACTCCCTGCAGCATGAAGGCACCATCTGAGGTTCCTGTCTTCCTCCTTCTCCCCTCTCAGCATTTGGCTCTGCCCTCCTCCTTCTGAGCCCCACTGCTTTACCTTTCTGTACTCTCCTTTGCCCAAAGATGGCTAAGAGGCCACAAAGCTGAGAAGCAGAGTTATGGGCAATAAAAAGCACTTCCAGGGTTCTCTTACTCCACCTCCCAACACGTCCGATACATTTTTCCTACAGAGAGGTTGAGAGCTGAGGGCAGGGGGCTCCACTTCCTAAGCCCCAACATATCCAACAGCTTCCACAGTTTCTCCTGTCTCCAGCAATTCAGGGTGTGCAGTCAGCTCCTCAGTAGGGGTGGGAGGACAGTGACAGTCTCACTGGCCATAGCTGCCCCTGCTTCACCAAAGAATCATAGAATAATAATAAATAGTCTCTTGGGTTTTCACCCACAATGTTCATGCAAAACCCCCTCTGTCTCTGGTTGACCTCAGGCTGGGACATCAGTTGGCAGTGGTCTGAGACTGCATCCACTGGAGCCCGGCAGGCAGCCTGCAGGAAGGGAGAAACAGGACAAGGATCAGCGTACCCCATGAGAATGATGGCCTTCAGGCTCCCAGCCCCTGCCCAAAGCAGACTGAAGGGGCAATGAAGTTACATCTAATCAATCAACAAACATGAACTACCTGCTATGCATCAGGCACTGTGCTAGGGGTGAGAAAAACAGACTAGCCCTTGAGGGTGCACAGTCCAGCCAAAGAAATGGATATTAAATAAATGGTCTGACAAATGATTCTTTAACTAGAGACTGTGATAAGATTATGAAAAAGATTTACAGAGGCCTCTGGACATCTGGGAGTCAAGGAGGTCTTCTCTGAGGAAGGGGCTGGAGAACCATCTCTTGGGCCCCTTAGTAATATCCCTGGACAAGGCTCTGATGCCCCCTCACCACCTACTCCATAAGCAAGCTGCCCCACCAGACTGTGAGCACCCCAGAGCCAGGATGGAGTCTCTGTACCATCCCAGCCCTTGCCTGGCACAGTGCATGGAGGTCCATTGGGAAATGCCAGTTGAATGGAACTGACTACAGGTTGGGGGCTCCCTCCTGACCCAGGTGGTGGCAGGGACACTGCCAGAAATGTGTAGTCCCTTGGGCTGACCGTGCCTGAAGTCTCCCTTTCTTCAACCCAGGCATCCAGCTCCCTAGCCTACTACAATGTCACCCGAGAAAAAAAGAGGAAGCAGAATTCCACAGGCTTAATGCTTGGCCCTGATCTCCTTGTGTCCTTCAGGTGTTTGCTCAGAGCCACCTTCTCAGTGGCCCCTCTCTGGATGCCTTATCTTAAATTGCAACATTCTCACTGCATATTTCCAAACCCCTTTTCCTGCTTTATTTTTCTCCTTCATATTTATCACTAACTTACTCATGTTTTTCTTATTTTTCTTGTTTATTGTCTTACCCACTAGATAGTAAGCTTCATGAGGGTAGGGATGTGCCTATTTTGTTCTCTGCTGAATTCCCAGCACCTAGAACAATGCCTAGGAACTCGGGTAGCATAGTGGCTAAGACACTTGCCTGCTAACCAGACGGCTGGCGGTTCAAACCCACCAGCCACTCCTCGGAAGGAAGGTTGGGCAATCCTACTTCGGTAGTGATACTGTCATAGTGATGTGAGTCGGAAACCCTATGAGTGACTCCACGGCACAGAACAATGCCTGACACAAAGTAGGTGCTCAATGAATGTTTGTAGAGTTGTGTTATTTAATCTCTATGGAAACTCTGAGGGGATTAGGGACATTCACCTTCCTCCTTAGAGATAAGGAAACAATGGCCAGAAAGAGTCAGTGATTCTTGCCTGGAGATTTGTCTCCCAGGTCTTCCCAAGGCTGGCTCATAAATTATCTCCTAGGAGAGGCTTTCCCTTCCCACCCCCCACAACTCTCCATCACTGTTATCCAATTTCACTTTCTTCACAGAACTTTTCAGTACCTGCATGTATTGGAGTTACAAGGAATGTTGCTTCTCTCTACGCTACAATAAACCCTTTGAGAGCAGGGACTCTCTCAACTGTGAGTAGGTGCTCAACTGACTTAGGCCAGGCGCCAACTCTGCGCCAGAATCTCATGGGAGAGAGACAGGAAAGAGATTCTAAGAGTTAGTTGTCCATTGGTTGGGCCAGGTCCTGGAGGTCCAAGTGGAGCAGCACTAACCCTTCCCCAGTAAGGGCACAGCAGCCCTGTATGTGCCACGGGTGGTCTTTGATGGCGCTGAGCGTGAGGAATTGGGAGATCTCCATAGTAGTCATGGAGTCCTTCATGTCCTGCTTGTTGGCAAAGATCAGGACCGAGGCATCTCGCAGAGCCTGTGGGCAGAGAAGTCCAGACCCAGTTAGCCTGTCAGGGCCAGCCTTCCCTCCCACTGACTTCACATCCTCCCTGGCTCCCCAACTGTCCCTGCAGAGAGAGGACCATGCCCAGGTGGGGCGAGTTAAAGGCCCTACCCCAACAGTAACAACCACACCAAGTGACATTGATAGCTCATGAAATCCACCCCAATCAGTTCACATAATCCTTATGACAGCCCTTAAGAAGTAGGTATTGGAAGATCCTCTCCATTATATACTTGAGGAAACTGAGGATAACAGAGGTGAAATGACTTGCCCAAGGTCCAACAATGAGTGAGAGGTGGGATCAGAATTTGAACCAGCAACTCTGGCTTCCATGATCAATTGTGGTGAGGGCACTGTAGCCCCTGACTGGGAGAAACTAGCCCAGCTCAAGCTGCTGAAATGAGGCTCTCAGAGGCTTAGGTTTCAAGAATGAAGCTCAGAGAGACTGAGTAGGTACCTCAAGGGCGCATAGCTAGTATCACTGGCCTCTCTCCAACCCAAGGTGCTTACCTCATGGGCCAGCATCTTATACAACTCCTCCCGAGTGGTCAGCAGCCGATCCCGGTCTGTGCTGTCAATCACAAGAATGATGAACTGGGCAACAGAGAGCAAAGAGGGGTGAGCTTTCCCTTTGGTGAGCTTGTTTCCTGGCCCCTATGCTCCATGAATGGCCCCTGTGCTGCCCTGCAGACACTGTCCAGTCTCAACATCTCATCACCCAGTCTCCTTTTAATGCCCTTCTCCATCTATACATGGGGAGTACAAGGCACAGCCTCTGACTGAGCTAAGCACTGGGTGTTCATGACCCCATTTAGGCCTCTTACACCCCTGTAGAATTGGTACTATTGTTACCCCTTTCACAGATGAGGAGACCGAAGCTCAGCCAGGTTAAACATCTTGCCCTCAGCCACAGAGCTGGTGAGAGGCAGTGCTAGAATTTGAATTCAGGTCTGTCTTTTTTTTTTTCTTTTCTTTTCTTTTTTTTTTTGGTGACTTGGGTGAAGATTTACGGAGCAAATTCACTTTGCATACAGCAGTTCACATATACTTTGTCTCATGTCATTGAGAATTCAGGTCTGTCTTACTCCAGGAATTAAACCACTGAATTCTACTGCTGCCAGAGAAAGAAAGAGGGATTTCCAAGGAAACCATCCCCATCCCATGCATCTGCTAGCAAGCAGCCAAAGCTGTTAGGAAGTATTTAAGAAATTTAATAGGCACCATGCTGCAGTGAGTACTTGATGGATCCAAACTATTACTATTGAATTTTCACACCACCACCAGGAAACCATTATGATAATCCCCATTTCACAAATGACAGACCTGAGCTCAGAGAGGGTGAGTGACACACAGCTGCCTTCAAGGTCCCTCCAGCCCCCGTGCCCTTCTCACCTCTGTGTCTGAGTAGTATGTGTTCCAGGTGGAGCGCAATGCCTCCTGCCCCCCTATATCCCACATAAGGAAGTGGGTCTTTCGTAGAATGATCTCCTCCACGTTGCTACCGATGGTGGGGCACGTATGGACCACCTCATTTGTCAGGCTAGGGAGGTAAGAGTGGGTACTCAGAGCTCAACCCAGCCCAGCCACTCCTAGCCCTTTTCCCCTTCCCTCTGCTCCCAGGGCAAGGTGAATCTAACTCAGACCAACTCATCCCAGGTTGACTGAACACCTGCTGGGTCCAGGCTGTGTGCTGAGCACTGAGGCAGACAGGAGGATGATACAGCCCTGCCGTGGCTTGGACCCCAGAGAGGAGAAACTTAACAGCAGTCTTCTCAAACTTTAATGTGCAGTTGAATCACTTGGGAGTCTTATTAAAATGTAGATTCTGATTCAATGCATCTGGGCTAGGGCCCAGGACTCTGCATCTCTAACAAGCTCTGGGCTGTGATGCTACTGGTCTGTGGACCACACTGAGGAAGGAGCAAGAGATTAGAAAAACCAGACAGACACAGACAAGGCCGTCAGAGGAGGGCGTGTAAGTGTTTTCATATGAAAGGAATGTCTCTACAAGGTTACCAAGAAGTTGTAACAGTGGTTACCTGTAGGAAGCAAAACTGGAAGTCAGGGATATAAGAGAGAGACTTCCTTTTTACTATATACTTTGGTACTGTTTGAATTTTTTTTTTAACCATTTACATATATATCTTTCACTTTTTCAAGGGAAATTTTGTTCTAGTAAATAAAATACTTATGAAGGTCCAGAATGGGAGAGATGCCTTCCACGGAAAGAATGGAGAGAAAGCTCCATTGGGTGTTTGTTTACTCGGCACCAACAACCTTGTGTGAGAGACCCGGGAGCTATTGGCCCAGCTAGACCCAAATCTGGCCCTCCCTGGCCTCAGGGTCTGCCTTTGGGTTTGAAAAAGCTGGAGAATTTGAACAGGCAGCAGGCAAAGGTTGGCAAGGAAGGACCCGCCACTAGAGGGAGGGAGCAGCGGAGAGGCAGAAACGAGAGGCGGGTTTCGACAGCCGTCAGGCCTGTAACCGCGTGTGGCAGGGGCTCGGGGAGATGGCGCGAGCGGTGGAAATGGAGCTGCCCGGACTGTGCAAAGTCTCAAATGCCAGGGAAGGGGCCACTGAATAGAACCACCGCTATAGCAAGAAGGTCACATCAGCATGGCCCTTATTATTCCTGCCGGCACTAGAGGAACCCAGGAAAGAGCTCCCTTGATTGGTCCAAATGCCTGTCAGTCTGATGAAAGGCCCGGCCCTCTCCTGTCCCCCGAGAGTCACTTACAACTGGTAGAGAATGGTGGTCTTTCCGGCGTTGTCCAGCCCCACAATAATAACCTTGTGCTCTGAAAGCAGCCAGAGGAAGGGCAGAGTCAAAGTCTAACCCAATGACCAAGGGACCGTGTGCCCCCACCAGGCCTCCCAGGAGGGGACAAGTGGCACAGGCGGTGGGACTTCTATTCCGGATACCGCTGCTGCGCCCCACCACCAGGAAAAAAGAAAGAAAAGAATAGGGCAGATGTCCTCCCCACGGGGCCCCAGACACTTGTGCCACTCTCGGGCAATGGAAATCAGAGCCAAGAGCGCCCCTCCAGCCTCTTCTCCATAATTCCAGAAAAGTGACTGTTTGAAAAATCCGGGATCAAATGGGTAAGAGCAGAGCGCTAAGTCCCAAAGGCAGGACGTCGGCGGCGACCCCCTACCCGCCGGGCACGGCTTTCAGCCTGGAGGAAAGATGCTCCTCTCGCCCCTGTGCCCTGGGCGCGCCAAAGCGCCAGACCCAGGAGCAGCGGGTCAGGATCCAACCAGGGGAGCCCCGGAGCGGGCAGGAAAAGTCCACGCTTAAAGAGACCCTTGGAACCCGAGGTCTCCCAGCGCGTCCGCCTCGACGACCCAGATTCTGGGAAGCCCCGGCGGGAGCGGGATCAGAGCGATCGCTGGGATTCCCAGAGCACCCCTTACCCTGGTTCCCGAAGATGCCCATCAACTTAGCGATCAGCTGTCCCATGGCACGTCCGGAACCCAGCAGCGACAGAACTCGGTGGCCTCGGGAGACTTGAGTCTGGCCCCAGAGCTCGGAACTCCGCCCGGGTGGAAGGTCGGGCGGGGCTTAGCCTGTGAGGTCACAGAAGCGCCACCCGTCCCCGGAGGGGCCTGGGAATCCCCAAGGCATTATTGACATCAAGCCTCCTGTCCAGGGCCCTGGAGATACAAGGCAAATGGAGTCCCAGCCTCACCCCCTCTTCCTCACCCTGAGAAAATCAAAGAGTTCTCTGGGTGCAGTACTCCTCACCCTAAAACAAGGGAGGCTCAGCACAGTTGACTGTTGATTCATGTCATGGACTGAATTGTATTCACCAAAATATGTGTCACCTTGGCTGGGCCATGATTCTCAGCGTTTGCTAGTTATGTATTGATGTATTTTGGCAGTTAGGCAATGATGTAATCATCCCCATGTTGTGCTATGGTGTGATCAGCCAATCAATTGTAAGGGGGTGAGGGCGTGATGCAACACCCTTACTCAAATCACAGCCCTCATCCCAGGTTGGGGGAGTTTCCTTGGGGGTATGGCCTGCATCATCTTTTATCTTACAAGAGATACAAGGAGAGAGGGGCCAGCAGAGAAGAGGGACCAAGAAAGAAGAGCCGGGAGCAAACTGCATCCTTTGGACCCAGGGTCCCTGTACTTGGAACCTCCTAGACCCAGGGAAAGATTGATTGATGCCAAGACACATGGAGATCTCCAAGGAACGCTGGGGCCACAGATGCTGAAAGGAGAGACTGACCTACCCCTTGTTGTTGTTGTTGTTGTTGTTATGTGCCGTCGAGTCAGCCCCGACTCATAGCGACCCCTCCTTGGGTTTTCGAGGCAGTATCACTACGGAAGTAGGATTGCCCAACCTTCCTTCCGAGGACCCCTAGAGCCAAAAAAAGAGAAAGCTTTCCCCTAGAGCTGGCACCCTAAATTCAGACTTATAGCCTCCTAAATTGTGAGAGAATAAATTTCTGTTTGTTAAAGCCATCCACTTGCAATATTTCTGTTATAGCAGTACTAGAGAACTAATACAGCCACATCTGGATTCCACTTCATCTAAGTGCTGTGTCAGCAGCCCTAGACTGAGGCATAACCCCTAACGGCCCATCTTCTATACCCGATTGATTCTTTCTGAGCTAGCAGAATATTGTAACTCTCGGTAGTTCTCCGGTTGTTTCATAAGTGTGTCTTGTGGGCTGACTCAGAGTGAGTTCCCTGGGGGAGGACAGGTTACCCCTCCTGTCACAGGTCCCATGGTGCCAGGCAAGGACAGAGGAGAGTTCAGTGCTGCTTCCTCAATTCACTGACCAATCAGGTGCAGCTCCCTGATCCCTGAGGGCAGGCATCTGAAGACAGTAATGGAGTGAGAAGAGAGATCTGCCCCACAGCCCCACAGAGGGGTCCCTAGATGTGAAGACCTAGCATAGGAGAGCCTGGGCAGAGAGAGAAAGCCAGGAGGTCAGACTGGAGGAGGGAGACACTGTTGTTTGTGAAATTCCTTCTTTGCTTAAACTGGGAAAACCCAGAAAACAAAAAGAGAAGTGGGGAACGCACACCAACCTCAGACTGTGGGGTGGTTAGAAGGAGACCAGTCACCACACAGGAGAGCCAGCTCCTTCTGCTACACTGCCATTAGCCTCCTACAGACCCCTCAGCTAAGGTAACAACCACATAACTGGTTTCCCTGCCTCTGCCTCCTCCTTATCCAAGGCATTCTTCTCGTAGCCCCATTAACTTTCCTAAAGCACAGCTCAGAGTCTGTTACTCCCCAGCTCATAAACCTTTAATGGTTCCCCATTGCCCCCTGGATTCAGATCAGTCTCCTAACCTGACATTCAATGGCCTTCATGAACATCCCCCACCTGCCTTCACAGGTTTATCTCCCAGGTTATCACCCAGTGCTGTCCTCCGACGGGGTGACCAACTGGTCCTGGCCCACACATGACCAGCTCTTTCTGACTGTGCCTTGCTTCTACATCCTTCCATCTGGAATACTTTTCACCATCATCTCAGCCAGAATGATTCCTTCGACTACTTTGCCACCTGCCCTAAAAGCCACCTACTTCCTAAGACCTGGTTCAGTTCTCCAGCCAAATAAGACTTCTCTGTACACTGGGCTTGTGGACTGGAGTATCTATTTCTCCTAGTCAACTGTGAGTCCTAGAGGACAGGGTTCATGTCTTGTTTGCTTGTATACACCACCACCTCTCATGCCTAGTCCAGTGCCTGACACACAGCTGGGATTTGTTGCTGTTGGATTGAAGTAAAATGAGTTAAGCTACAGCCTGAAAAACGGTGGAGTAGTTAAAACAAACAAAAAAAAAAAGAGTGTGAACACAAAAGGAGTGATGAAGGTTAGGAAGTTTGTGGAGAGAAGAGGGAAAATATCTCACTACATATAAAATTTTCATCCCACCCAGTTTGGTGCCCAGAGTGAGAAGGATGGAGCATTGACCTCCAGAGTTCATTTGGGTCAATTCCAATTCAGTCCTAGGAAAGAAGGATCTGTGCTGTGTGCATGGTTGGGGGTAGGGTCAGGGTATAGAGGGTGCTGGGAAAAGCTGCAATGCTTTAAGCATTTTAAACATCTGTTTCCTGGGGGAAAGCAACTTTTTAGTGCATCCTGCCCTCCCCCACAAATGCAGAATTGAAAGTGACACCTTGCTAGCTGGGAGCTTATTCTGTAAACAGTCAGGAAGCCACCTCTCTTCTAACGCCCAGAGCCTGGATCACTGGGGTGTTCATTCCTTTGTCAAATATCAGTTAGAAATCAGGAAACCTGGGCCTTCAAGGAGCTTACAGTCTAGTGCGGGAGAAAAATACACAGGTATATATTACAAAATGTGGGTGTGCTAAGAAGGAAAAGAAAAACCCTGAGAGCCAGTAAGTGGAATGGTTTAATCTAGAGTCAAGATACTCTGAGGAGGTGACTACAAGAGCTAAGAGTTTTCTCTAAGGTATCAAACTGGGACATCCATCTCACCCCAGAGCCATAGTGGCTCCATCTCAGCTCACTTTATTTTAGAACAGTGGAAACCAGTGGTCAGTCACGTCTAGGACCTCAGGCCTCTCCTACCTCAGCTCACTCTGAGCAGAACCCACTGCAATGCCTGATGGAAAAAGCAGCAGCTAGGCAGGGAAAGAGGTGAAAGGTATCAAGTAGGAAGTCCTCCAGCTACCTCAGTCCCCTTTGGCACCTGCCTAGGCAGGACTTCCTGTGGTGGTTGTGGTAGCAGCCTCTGCAGGCCTGGCCCCAGCCCAGGAAAGAGGAACCCATGGCTGCTGTTGAGATCCTCACTTATTGACAACCACCAAAGTGCTGACTGTGCAGCCAGCATTGGTTACCAGGAAACAAGAACCTCTCTTTCCCCATCTTGCAGTATCTCTCAGGCAGCTAGAGATGTCTCTGCCTGCAGGATCTGGGCAAATGCAATTTCAGGCAGAAGGCACATGGGGGAAGACAGATACATATTCAGACACTTGCTTCTTTCTTCCCAACTCTCCCCACCCACATCTGAGGCATTCTGGGGCAGGGGAATTAGCATTGGACTTGGGATATGCACAGCTAAGACAAAACTTCAAATCAAAAGATTTGAGCTCAAATCCTTGCTCTACAGCTGTGTAACTGTGTACAAGTAGTTTAATTTCACTGGGCTTTATCTGTAAACTGGAATTATAAATCCCTGCCCTTGATTCAAAATAGCAGGCTTCTGCCAAGACCTCTCTGCTGAACTCCAGATCATACACCTAGCTGCCTTCTGCTCATCTCCTCTTAAATGTCCCACAGGTACCTTAAGCCCACCTTGTCCAAAGTTGGACTTATCATCTCTGCCCCTAACCTACTTTTTTCACCTGTTTCTTCTATGTTGGGAAAGATCACCATCCACAGTCACCCCAGACTCTTCCTTTTCTCACACTGAACACCTCCAATTTCTCAGTTCTAACCACCTCTGGCAATCACTACCTCCTTTCCCATCTCACTGCTGTGGCCTAATGCAAACCCTCCTCATTTCTCCCTTGACATATTGCAACTGTTTCCAGGCTAGGCCCTCCACTCTGTGCTCCAAACTGCAACCAAGGCAATCTTTCCATTGCTGCTTAAAATTCTGCCATGTCTGCACACCAGCTTCAGGACAAAGTTCAAACTTCCTAACATGACTCTAGGACCAATACAATCTGCTCCTGCAAACTCCACTGGTCTCTTCTAGTTACTGCCTGAGAGCACACTTTTCTGGTGAAGTGCCCAGAATATACCATGTATGTCACTTGTTTCCTCTGCTCTGAACACTTACCGCTCTTATCTGCCCAGGTAACCCTCACAATCCTTCTGTTGTTGTTGTTGTTAGTGCCGTCAAGTCGGTTCCAACTCACAGCTACCCTAGGTACAACAGAAGGAAAGGCTGCCTGGTCCTGCACAATCCTCACAGTTGTTGTCTCAGCCCTTGTTGTAGCCACTGTATTGATTCATCTCATTAAGGATCTTCCTCTTTTTTCTCTGACCCTCTACTTTGCCAAGTGTGATGTCCTTCTCCAGGGACTAGCTCCTTCTGATAATATGTCCATAGCACATGAGACAAAGTCTCATCATCTTTACTTCTAAGGAGCATTCCGGCTGTACTTCTTCCAAGACAGATTTGCTCTTTCCTCTGGCAGTCCATGGTATACTCAATATTCTTCATCAACACCATAATTCAAATGCATCAGTTCTTCTTTGGTCTCCCTTACTCATTGACCAGCTTTCACATGCATATGAGGCTATTGAAAATACCATGATGTGGATCAGGCTCACCTTAATCCTCAAAATGACATTTTTGCTTTCTAACACTTGAAGGAGATCTTTTGCAAAAGATTTGCCATCCTTCTAGATTCCACCCAGCCTCACCTCCAAGAAGCCTCTCCTAGCCTTCCAGATTTACCACAGTACCCAGTGCCTCCTGCATCGGAGAGCTCATTGGGCTGAACTGGAATTTGTC